CATATCCATGTAAACACGTATTACGATCTTCAAGGTCACCCACGATAGAGCAGTGGCTTCGTTTAATATAATAATGTGCTAAATGTGCTAGGTTCAGATCTACATGCTTTAGTATTGATTTTTTGTTATTTTTCAATAATCAGTGTTAATTCTAGCCAGCCTGATTTTTCCCGTCCGTCATCTCAATTTTGTTTGCCGTAAGATTATGTCGATCGCCGAAGGCGCGAGAGTTCGGGAAAAATGTGTAATAGTTGACCCTCTGAACATTATTTCCTGCATTTTGAGGGGCACTTTTCCGAGATGCATGGTATATTTTCAAAGCTAGGAACGTAGGATCACACGACGGATTCGTAAAGAAAATTTTCCATGGCCCTCCCCCCATCCCTGATTTTTTTCCATGGCCCTCCCCCATATGCCAATCATTTTTTCCATGGCCCTCCCCCCACCCTAAGCACCGGCCCTCCCACCGGTAGATATCGTACAGTCCCTTACATGTTACATACCCTCTACAAAACGAAGCCCTGATGTATTGTCCCGACATTGGTTTATATTTGTAAAAAGGTGTATTCTTTTACTATGAGGCGGTGCCCATGTAAAAAGGGGCTTGAAGCCGCGGGTTTACTGTAAATGACCAAGGATGACCCCAAATCGAACGAACGTTCGGTTCGAATGACGTCATATTGAACATGATTCGGTTCTAAAAAAGGTGTGAGTATTTGGGACCGAATTGACAACCGCGGTTTCTTAGACATAATGTAGCATATGTTGGTATTAGATACCATGAGTCGCTGAAATTTAGTCTGCGGCATGTATCTCATATACATAGAAGCTTAAGTCATTTACTTTTTAATATATAAACATTAGTCTGGAGAAAGAGTCGTGATAAATTTCAAAACAGTAACGTCATTGTTTGAAGAGCTACATCAAACTATGTATTCTTTGAATCTGTTGTAAAGAAACGTTTACAGTGATAAGGCCACACCAGTTTAATTTCTTGGTTAACTGATTTTTCTAGAAAATTAATGGAGCGGGCGGGCGAAAAATAATGAAAATAAAAACAGGCCTAGGCATCCTATTATGGCCCAAAATGGTACGATAGGACCCATGGAGTCAACACACCAGGCTGGTTCAAAATTTAAACAATGAATTTTGAACTTTTAATGATACCGTTGCATTGAAAGATGGAATAACTGTAACAACTAGGAAGAAAAGGAGTGTTTCAACTGTTCAGGGAAAAATATGAGCATTTTGCAGTTGATTCTGAATTTTTTTTGCAAATCAGAAAAAAATCAAGCGGGCGAATCCGATAACCAAGAAATAATATTGTTATGGCCTAAACGAGAAACGAGAAGTGCGTGGGAGGTAACATATACTAGTGAGTAAAGGGTAAGATGAGCTGGCAAAGATTTCGGACAGTTTGTCCTCTACTTTCCTTTTGTCATCCATTAAATCGACAACACAAAGCATCATTAGTTAAGATTCCGAGTAATAAATAGTAAAGGATTAAAAGTTACAACATGTAAATCTTTTCGAAAGGTTTATATGTTTTGCAGATATCTGTGTTTGTCTATGACGTGGACGGTTTATCTTTGCACCAAAATATGACGACATAATATAAACTAAGCATGTGTCACTAGCTACCTTATTTAAGAAATTCTCAGACTGTCAAAGAATATAGACTTCTTTTAATTCAGACATAACCCTTAAATAATATTTCTTTCTGTCATGAAAAATCTTGGCATATGCGTATCAATATTTTCACGGCGGTCTGTCACTACGGCATTCTTTCCCATTGCTAGGGGCGTTCTAAAAAGTATCGGGCTACAAGACGCTATTTTGGCCTGTTTTGGACTACCCGTAAAACACTTGAAAATAAACTAAAAGGATTAAATGGTACATTTCATCAAATTAAATTAAATCATTGCCTTAACATCCTTTTAATATTAGCTGTTTATGTTAAATCATTGATTTTTCAAAATTTCGCTCCGAAAGACGATTTCTTCCGGGTTTCCGACCACAAGTCATGTCATGTTTTTAGGCAAACATCGTTTAAACCTGGATACAGATATTACCCCAGATCCCCGATTTTTGTATTTTTCGACGACTAGGAATTAGATCAAGAATCGTGTTTTAGGGATTTTTTAAATTCTGATTTTAAGTCTAGTTTTTGTCGACATATTGGTGAAAAAATGATTTCTTTTTACATTTTCGCGCTAAATTACCCATTGAGGCCATTTTTTAAAAATCCCTAAAACACGATTTTCGGGACAACTTTTACGGTCATTTTGAGCCGTAAATTTGGGTATGTTTGACTCTCCATGCGTGCAGGTTTAAACGAGTTTTGCAGACATGTCATGTCGACCAAAAGTCTGCCTTGTGTTATTCATACTGGTGTAAAGAATCATTACAGCATTCAAGGTCACCCAAGGATACGACAGTAGCTTCGCCACATGTTACATGTCCACAAAAAATAATAGCGGACATGTGCTGCCCAGGAAACTGTTTGTATCTATAGAAAAGTGTTGTTTTTATCTGTTGCAAGGCACGGAGGCAGAAAGGCTTGTTTTGCCGCTTTATAGTAAATGACCGCAGGTGACCCCGAAATAGAACGCGGGTTCGATTCGAATTGCCCAGATCGAACACGATCGAACACAGTTCGGGTTCTATGACATGTCGGAACTTTGCAGTCCAGATTTTACCACCGTGTTTTAATTCATCCTTATCAGGTTCTTATTTCTTTCGTTTTTGGTATATAAATTCCAGAACAAGCTGCCAGCAGAACTGAACCTAAGCCACTTTTTTTCTTACTAAAAGCTATCTGCCACGAAAATATACAGGCCATACCCTGCTCGGGACAGAAGATACAAAAATAAGTTCTGGTGCAGTACCGAAGAAAGCCGCTCGAAGGTCCAAAATTCACATTGCCTCTTCCCACATACCGAAAATCATCACAATCCATCTGGACCTACTTAAACTATGTTGACAAAAAATATGCGGAAACAAAGATAGGCACATCCAAATCCATACGTAATTTATTAGCATAATTTATTTGAATCGGTGATACTCTACCAAAGAACATTATATATCGTATGCGTCAAAGTCATATCCTTCAAATGGCATTATATATAACTCAGGAAGCATGACATTATTGTATTAATGTGCAAAGTCGGCATTCATACCTGTCCTCATTGATTAGAACAATTATGTCCTACAGTGGCCTAGTTTGATCATTTGATTTCCATTGGTCAGAAAAAAAGTTGCTGAGGGGTTCCACAAGTACACAAATTTTAATTGAAAAGCTAACTGCCACCCAAAAACAAACAGCTTGCATGACCAGGACATATGATATAGAACCTGGTTCTGCTGTAGTACCAAGGGCAGCTGGCAGGAGCTCCACAATTATTGACCTTTATCTTTACCTTCCCAAATACATGTACCAGTTATCATCACAATCAACCCAGGCTTTCCAAGTAAAGCTAAAAATGGGAAATACACTGACACACAGTCTAAAAAAACCTCAAGTTTTCAAGGATGTAACGATATCATCATTTTTACCGTAATTATCTTTATAACTGCATGTATGTTGTAGTGATTATGGTACATTTTAACATTTCAAATGTACGTTTCAAGTAAGCCTTTATGATAATAACTTTATTCGCAAAATCATGCCCGAAGGCCAATTGCTTTTACAATCAAGTATGATACTGATTGCAATACAGTAACAGGAGACAGGTAACAATCTGTCTGGAAAAAACTTCTACTTCGGTATCTGTATCTGTATAGCCGGTATAACCGCCTTTCGGCGTAACACTTCTACTGCTACGCTAGCTATTATGGGGTTCGACTTCTTCTTTGAAGGCAGTGGATAATGAATAGTCCCACATTCTGCATAATTAGTGGGTTTTGTGATCTTAGTAGAAATGCATTTATAATATTCATCATTCACTCGTATACTGTAATACTTTTCTTACTTCATTGAAGAACCAACTCAAGATGGAGGAACTGAAACCGTCGCTACTGAAGACTACGACTATGACTCTGACAGCCACGTGTACCATTATGCCGACGGAGATGACATCAACAACGTGCCGCAGTCTGATGTAGGCAACGGAAATGGTGGACATCCAGATGATAAAGGGGAAGATACTACAGTACCTAAAAATCCGCGGAGGGGCGCCTCTGACTTGCGAAACAACCCAGTCTACGACCTTGGTGCACTTTCACAAGATAACAACAAAGGTATATACATTGTACATGTATCTATAAGATAAAAGGTAAACTGTTCTCCAACACAAAGAATGGAATGGCTCACCCTTCATCAACTATTCTGACTCAAGTGTGTAGACAGGTAAAATGTTTTCCTATGCGTGATGTCAGCACTGGGACAAAGACGGGATTGACCAATCACAAAGCCCATATAATATTTTGAGACCAAATATCATTAACATTGACAACCTAATAAGTTTGTGGTTATTTTAATCAGATTGCAAGAAGTACTACTCATTGTTGTATGGTGGCGTTACAGTGAATATAGATAGATAGAGATAGATAGAGATATAGATAGATAGATAGGTAGATATCATATAGCATCCCTGAAATACACTGAGTTTGGAATCAAATCTTTACTTGTTGATTTACTTTCCACAGAGTCGACATGTTTTACATTTGTCCGCCCCTACCTACTGCGTGGCATTATCATCGCTGCAGTGGCAGCAGCTTTGGTTTCTGTAGTGGCTGTTATCGTCATTTATCTAACTCATCCGGTAAGTCACCTTTCATGTTTAAATCAGACAGTTGGATTCCTTAAAGTTTGCTTTGAATCTGTGCTCCATTATATTCTAGTTTGTAAATGAGAAAATGCTAGTATTTGCACTTAACATGTTGTCCAATCTAAAATCATATCCGTTTTTATTTAGCTTGATAACAGCAAGAACTTAACAATGGAATCACTTTCGGGGGCTTATGGCCTTGATCTTACGACAACTTCTTCACTGGTGAATATGACAACCACACCACAAGTCGAGTTGAACACGTCGATCTATGAGGTAAGATAGAAAAGAGGAATGCAAAACAAAGCCTGTAGGCTAGTGCTGAGATGTTCGTATGACATTCTATGACGCAACGCAGATGACTCAGATCTAGGGCCGTTATCGGTAAAACATTATGATAAGTGCAAGTACTTAACGATTCTTTTGAATCATTGTTAATGGTGAATCAAATGACATCAAGAAAATATTTTTTACCAGTCCACAAACGTCATGGCCCATTGGCTATTGAATCAGTCAATGCACAAGCCACTCAACAGCATTTGTTAGAAAGATTACAAATGGCCTATTGATTCTTTTGGCGCCTTTGTAGGGCAAACTGAAATCAATATCAATATTGCAAACTTGATGTTTTTGTCCACGAACAAAGACATATAATTATGACCAGTATTTTCTTGTTGTTCTCAGCTTTTGTTGCCGGTGACCAGCGTCACGCGAGGTATGGATGATGTGACTAACAAGTCATCACCTACCATGAGAGGTGAGGCCAAATTTTGAAGGTTTAAATACGGTGGCTCAAGAGCATCGATTTATTGCTTAGGCCACAGCAAGTAATTTTTATGGATGACACCAGCGCGCACATTAATTTTAGCCTGATTTGCGGGAAGAAACTTTGTTGCCCTCTGACTTTGTTCAAACTGCAGAAAATGGGCAAATATATCTGTTGCCATTCCGGAATGTGGATGGCAGATGACTAGGAAGAAAAAAGGCCTTCAAAAAAAGGCTCTGATATAATGTGTTTTTTTTTTACTTTGATGCAGAGATATGTGATGGTGGCTGTGTATATGTAATGTTCCCACTAAATGAAAACCATTTGCACAATAATTGAGTCAAAATTTGAACATGTCGGAACCTTGTTTTTTCGTCCCGCCTTGTTTTTTTCGCCCGCTTCCATTAGATGTGGCTTCTGCGGGGAATGTTATCCTCAAATTTACGTGCTGTGGCCTTACATGGTCAAATGGCCTATAGCGTATTTTATTTATAAGAGGGTAATGGAAGGATATTAGGTTTCATGAGATTTGTACAAGTCAAAGAACAACGTAATTCGTGATTCCCTGTATTATTCCGTCACTGTTACAGCCAGTACGAGGAGTGACGGCTGCCAGGTCGGATACAAACGCCTCGCCAGCAGCTGTTTCCAGCTCCACTTCCGACGAATGACCTGGATGAAAGCCAAAGAGGCCTGCAAGAAGGAGGGAGCGAGGCTAGCCATGCCCAAAACAAAAGAATTGGACATCGCTTTGAGACACCTGGTCCGCACGGAAGGCCAAAACATGGGCTATTGGATCGGCTTGAAGGATAAAGAACGCCTCATATGGAAGAAGCGCTGGGTTTGGGACGATGGGTCCAAATTGGGCAAATACAAGGTACTTTTTAAAAGACAAATTTAGACCTCATTTTATCCTTAGACACCATCTACAAGAATGCATCAGACAGAATGTGGGGTTTAGGAGTAATAACTACAATTATATGGCTGTAA